TAATTCATTCTCTCTCTCTCTCTCTCTCTCTCTCTCTCTCTCTCTCTCTCTCTCTCTCTCTCTCTCTCCAGGTTTTTCCCTTTGATCCTATACTGTTTCTTCTATACCCTTTACTGAATCCTAAAATCTTGACCTCAGGAAAGTTTGAAGTAATGGCATCCAGGAGTCAGTCATTATCTATACCAATGTGAATCAACAGGGCAATCTAGTGGATAAGATCACCCAGGAAGAATACATTCTGGGAGGGGAAAAGAAAAGAGCAACAAGGATGGAAAAAAAAAACAGGAAACGTAAATTTACAAAGAGGATTTAGCTGTGTAGACCATAGATTGCATTTAAAAACAAATATTGCTTGGAAAAACATATATATATATATATATATATATATATATATATATATATATATATATAATTATATAAAATTGAGCTCTATATATGTAATAACAATTTATATATATAAATTTATATATATATAAACAGCAGAATACATCACAATTCTTATTACATATATAGAGCTCAATTTTTCATATCTCTGGTTGTATACATAGTATACTCACACCAATTCATGTCCTCATACATGTACTTTGGATAATAATGATCATCACATTCAACCATCATTAATTCCCCCATGCCCCCTCCCTTCTCCTCCAACCCCTCTGCCCTATCTAGAGTTCGTCTATTCCTCCCATGATCCCTCTCCCTACCCCACTATGAATCAGCCCCCTTATATCAGAGAAAACATTTGGCATTTGTTTTTTGGGGGATTGGCTAACTTCACTTAGCATTATCTTCTCTAACTCCATCCATGTACCTGCAAATGCCACGATTTTATTCTCTTTTGTTGCTGAGTAATATTCCATTGTGTATATATGCCACATTTTTTTTATCCATTCATCTATTGAAGGGCATCTAGGTTGGTTCCACAGTTTAGCTACTGTGAATTGACCCAGCTATCTCTCTCCTTGCTCTATACCCAAAGGACTTAAAAACAGCATACTTCAGGGACACAGCCATATTAATGTTTATAGGAGCACAATTCACAATAGCTAAATTATGGAACCAAATTATTGCAGACTGTAGTTGGGACTGCATCTTGGGCATAGAATAATGGGTCCACACTGCAGTGGGTATGCTGGAGGTGGCCTCACAGGGAGAGGGGAGTATTAAGTGAGTATATATCAGAGTCAGAGACTGCCACCCCAAGACCCACCCTCAAATCTGCTAAACTGGTTCAGTTCTATTTGCCAGAATGGGAGGGACCAGGGCTCAGTTTGCCTCTGTTTCTTTCTCCCTTTCTTCAAATGAGGGAATGAAACCATCACCTGTCCTCTTAGCACTGCTCTTCCCACTTCACTAAATTGTCCTTGTTGTCCCAATTAGGAAATTAAGTTTCCCACCCTTGCCACCTGGTGGGTCTCCCAGGCCACCACTCAGCCACTTTGTGAATGAAGTCTTTGTCTTCGGCAAAAGTTCTTGTCTGTCTGTGGCTGCTATAGAGGGCAAAATGTGCCTGGATCTGTGACAGGAGATGGATTTGTTCATCACCCCGACTTGATGAGTGCACACTGTATGTAGGTATTGAAATATCACATTGCACCCGAAAATTAAGTATAACTAAAAATTAAAAAATAAAAAAGAAAGCTTCTCATTGTGCAGAATGGAACTTTGTTCACCTGGTCAAGTATCACTTTAATTTTCTATGATAATATTCTCTCCGGTAAACAGAACATCACACTCAGGTTATTCTAATGAAATTTTCACCCATACTGAGGAAAATGTCCACTTTTTACCCCTGAATTTAGGAGCTTAGAATCTATTTAATTATTCTTCATTCCTCTCCCAATCGTGGAAAGGGTTCCTATTTAGCTTTTTTTTTTTTCCCAACTTTCTATTTCCTGCAATATCAAAGGAAACATCCCTGGAAAGTTCTGCATCTGATTTAGACCATATTCCTATATGGTTCAAGGAAAATCATTCAAAGGCTTAATCCGAGCTAAAATTTTACACTCCTATTCTGCGCCATTAAAATTTTATGTTTGCGACTCCATGTTTGCTATTATCAAGGCTTTACATCACATTGGTCATTATTCTTACCATTCAGTAAGATTAATCCTTATTTTTTCATTACAGTATTAGCTCAGATTCTCCAGCCTAGTGAATTCATTGGGAATAAAACTATCACAGGATCATTTTGTTCCTCTTTAAATACATATTTGTCTTTTTATACTCATTCCACAGGCTATATGTGCCTTAAACGCTGAAAAAAAATCATTTATAATCAAAACCATGGAGAATTGGACAAGTTGGCCAATTACAGTATCTTCAGAGTCTCATAAACTACTTTGAAAATCAACTGCCTTGTGAAGATTGTTATTATTCATCCCCTAAAAATCAGAATATTGTGATCAATTTGTACAGGACCAGATGCCATAGCCATGTGGAGCTTTACATATATACCCCAGTCAGCAAGAAGTTCTCTTTCTAGTTTATCTTTGATAATAAATGAATATTTAAATTCATTAAATATGTGCTGGAGAGGCTGTGGGCTGAACTACTACATTAAATATGTTTAGCTAATAGATTTTGTCACTTATACTTGATCTTTCATCTAAAGAAGTGGGAATTAATGCAAGAGTCAAGGTAATTTTTAAACCAACTTCTCCAAAAAGAAAATGAATACAACTTTTACCATATTTGTTTGACCACTTTTTAATTCTCTATTATGCCTGTAAGAAGTGTGTTGTAGTAAAATATGTAAAATATTATGTTCTAATAATTTTATTATTTCCCTTTCCTCCCAATAAATATATGATATTTTTGACACTGGGAATTATATCTCCTATTTAATGTTTTTAACTTACTTATAAGAAGAGAGTATTTAGCATATAGTAGGCTGCCTTAGACGATTGACAAATAAATTAATAAAGTCAGACTTTAACCCAAGAAAAAGAGCACTTACTATGTGATAGGTGAGATCTGTGTTTTGTTTATATTATTATAATTTAATAGTACCAATAGTCTGAGGGCATAGATGTTACTAACCACATTTTATAAGATAGAATATTGAGGTTTAGAGTTAAAGATATTGCCCAATATCACACTGTTAATAAATTATAAAGTTGTGATGTGATTTGTGATTTAATTGACTTCATAGTCCATACTTTCTCCACTATGCCACACAATCAACTAGAAAGTGGTCAGATGTCAGATTGCTATGAGACATGTCTCTGAAGTCATCATTAGTTTTACTGAAGTTGTTAATGCACCACTAGATCTAGGATGTTTTTCTTTTCGTATATGATTAAAAGTATAAGGAACTCAAGAAAGAAATATTTAGTGTAAATATTTCTAAAACAAGGGGGAAAGGATGATTGACATACAAAATGATGCATCAGACTCAGTAAAAAAACTAAAAATACCTAGAGAATTTTAAGAATGCACAAGAAATTAGGAACTGTGCTGTTTCTCTGAATTGCATTAGATTTTTAAAAACAAAAACAAAACAAAATGAATAAATTCTTTTGGGCTCACATGAGCCAAAGTGGATAATAAACTGATGAAGTCAGTATTCAGTTATTATACCTTTGCATACCAAGGCTACTATAAATTTATAAATGCATTGATATGAATACTTTTTAATGTAAAGAAAATGGCCTAATCTTTTTCATCAATTGGATTCTGAATAAAAACATGATAATAATCACATAGAGTTCATGTAACAAAAGTGACCCATGTCAAATGCAGCCAAATTCCATCCCTTTCTTAGATCCTTTTGCACAAATAAAGTTGTCATTGGCATTACTTGGCTTTCTCTGTGAGCACCTCTATGATCCATAACTATAGAATATGACTCCTTAAGACATTGTAAACAAAGACCAGCAATTCCAGAGCTAATAGGTTTCTGTTCTTTCTCAGTAATTCTGCCCTCTAAGTATAGTGGAACCACAGCCGGAGGCACTGCTCAGCATTAGAACACAAGTTTAGCATGCAGGAGGCCCTGAGTCAATCCTCAAAACCACTAAATAAGTAAATGGATAAAATATAGCAGAACTGATTTCAAAAGACAAACAGAAATACGCTTGTCTGTTTTCTTTTTTTTTTTTTTTTTTTTAGGGTGAAGAATAAGAGGTTTGAGGGGAGGGAGAAGGAAATGAAAGCAGGTAGTACTTGGGATTAAAATGGAGAAAACTATGCTATATGCATTTATGAAGGTGTCAAAATGAACCCTATTATGTATAACAACAATGCACTAAAAATTTAAAAAATAAAGATGAATAAAAAAACACCTTTATAAAAAATATCATTCTTTTGCTGTATTGAAATGTTTAATGAAATTAAGATATCATTTTATGTTGAGCATGGTGGCACATACCTGTAATCCCATCGACTGGCAAGGCTGAGATAGGAGGATTGTAAAGTTCAGGTCAATCTAGGCAACTTAATGAGACCCTGTCTAAAAATAAAAAATAAAAAGCGGCTGGGGATGTAACTCAGTGGTAAAGTACCCCTGTGTTAAATGTTCAATCCACAGTACCACTGAAAGAAAAGTAGGAAGGAAGAAAGGGGAAAGAACACCTTTTCAATTGGTAAATGATACAGAAATGTTAAAAGGAAGAAATTGGAAGAAATCTTTAAGAGAAATACTTGTGTTAAATTTCATTCAGAATGTTTTTATTGCACCTAAATGTCATGATTATTGCTTTCTTAAAGTCTTAAAATAGTTGCAATAAGTTTCACTTTTAACTGAACTTATTGTTTGGTATAAATGTTCTATTTTCTCACTTGACTTTCAGTGCCCTGTGTTATTGAGCACTTGTGTGCTCCATAATTGTAGACTCTATGACTTCTTCACAGAGTCTAAACAGAGACCAGACCAATATTTATAGTGCAATAGAGTTAAGTCATTTAATAAAATCTAAAAACTATTTCTTGTCTCACCAGGTGCCAAATGAAGACTAAGATTAATGCACATTATTAAATTTACATTCATTTTTTTTCAGATCCAAGAAATGAGCAGAAATAATGATCAAGAAAATGACTATGAAGAAGATATTTTCTCATTTTCTACATATTCTCCCTGTAAGTTTTCTTACATGTTATTTATATATGTAACTTTTATATTATAGTACATATGCTGGAAATATATGACTGAAGAGAATTCAGAAAGGTATTTAATTAACAGAATGACTTTTACTTTATAATATGGTAGAAATGCCACTACATTTGCTAGTGTAGATACATTTAAGAAGGTCAAGGTCTAATAATCACATATTAGGTTTCCTACCCAGGAGAAATACACAAGTTATACTGATATACATTTTTTTTTTCTATTTGACAACTGTGTTTTTTCAAGTGTTTGTTGTTCCCCAAACATAATCACGTTTTTTGCAGTTCTTATTTTTCTCAGCTATGAAATGAGAAGTTTGGACCAGGACACTCTCTAAGGTCCTCTCTGAAGTAACAACATGAAGTTCTAGGTTCTAATGTCTGAAGACAGATTCAAAATGATCTTGCATTTTAGTCCCGTGTCATTAACACACAATGACTTGTTCAACATCTTCATCAGCATTTCTTATCAGCATCTACATCCCAACTTCTGAAAACCCTGATTTCTACCACTTCTAAGCGTCTACATGTGCTGATTTCCCCAGCTCAGCAAATGGAAATGCCATGTTTCCATTGTTCAAGCTACTTCAACATTCTTGAAGTCACCTTTGCTTTTCTACTTTCTCTCTTACCCTGTATCCAGTCTACTGTATAATCTTATTGACTCCACTTTCAAAATATTGCCCACACTGAATCTTTTCTCATTCTTCTCATTGCCATTCGTCCAAGTTAACACTGTCAGTAGCTCTTCCCCAGATTGTACAGTGATTTCCAGTGGAGGGGTATTGACTGTCCCCTACATTGCCAACTTGACAATGAATGGAGATTTTTCTGATTGCCATGAATTGGAAATGAAGGGTTGCTACTGGCATTCAGTGGGTAGAGACATCAGGAATGCTACTAAAAATCCTACAGTGTACCAGACAGCCCCTCACATCAGTCCAACATGTCAATAATGTGCCGCTATCAAGAAACCCTGAAGCAGTTTCCCCATTTTTCCACCTCTCACACTTTAGGCTTCATGAAGGAACTAATCACGCTTCTGTCCCAAATCATCCAAAACCTTCCCATTTTACTTATAATCCTTCTTATCACCTACAGGGTCCTAGATAATCTTTTAAAACTCTCTCTGATCACTGTCTTACTTGCTCATGGCCAGTGACATCTCACACATCAAGCTTGCTTCTTCTACCTATGGGCATTTGCAATATCTGCCCCCACTACCTACTCTTCTTCTGTGTGTCCCCTTAACTCACTTCATCACTTCTTCCTTCAAATCATCACTCCTGTCTTCTTCCTTTACTCTTTATTTCTCTGTACCTGCTATTTTTTTGTATTGCACTTAGCATTATTTTGGCAAAATCAGTAAACTCCTTCAAACATTTTTTGATTGCAGAATACAAATGCACAAATGTTAATTAAGCTAAGAAGTTAATGCACCAAGTTTGAAGGTTATATATTTTATCATTTTTATGATAGCAAAGGAGATGATAAAGACCAAAATTGATACAGATCATATATTTATCATAATACTGAATCCTCAGAACAGCCTAGAATAAGAAAACATTATTTCAGTTCTAAAGAGACAGTTTGGAACCAGAAACTCTCTCATATATGAAACTGTATGAGTCAGCAGATTTCCATTGGCACCACCATTGCTCTGGAGCATGCCAAAACCCATGGGTGCACTAAATCCAGCTCTCCAGGGCTGAAGTCCAGGTTTGGGCATATTTGACAAGCACAAGGGAAGCTCTATTACTTAGTCAGTTTCAAGAAACACTGAATACACAAACAAAACTGAGGCTCCGAGTCATTTGCTACAGCATGAATGTAATTCTAAGTTGATGACTGATTTGCACATACAGAAAGAGTGAAGTATGTTTGCTGGCCTGAGCAATAATTTTTCCAGTCATTTTATCATCGATTCCATCAACATTTCCAAGGACTACTTTATTTCAGGCTGGTGTTTTTGTGTTAGGAGTAGAAAGATGAATGATTTCTGTACAGGTAGATCATTTGAAAATGTCTCCCTCTGATCTGAACTAGGATCTTGATTCAGTTCTAATACTGGAAGCTATATTTTCTTCTTTCTCACATAAACTAAAAGAAAAATGAGAATACATGTCGTAATAGGGGGTAACATCATGGTATGATTTTTCCTTACTAAGCTGAAAGAACTTATACAGTGTTACTCTTTATTTAAAAATAAAGGTTTTTATTTTCTAAATTATGCTATCTGACTTTTTTAGTTATATTTAAGTTCAGCAATCCTTTAAAACAATTGATTACATTGAGAAGAATGACAACTCAAATGTTCACAATCTGTTTTGAAGATTCCAAAGTTATTTGGAAGTTCCAAAAGTCTATCCTAAATTTTTTTGAATCTTTTCTGTAGAGATTGTTTTAAAAAGAAAATTTAATAAAAGTATTTTAATATGTTATTACATTGTAACATTTTTCTGTGTTCTTCCTGAGTGGTTAAAGAGCATTTATTATGCATCATAAACAGACAAATGATGGCATGGTTCCTGGAGTGAAGGGAATCTAACCTGATTATTGGGTTAAATTTCAAGATAAAATGCATTTTATAGGTAAGCGAACCAAGCCTCAGAAAGATGTACCCACTGTGAGTGATTTGGATGTCTTCTCCATCAAAAAATGTGAACGTTTTCCTCAGCAATATTTTCACAAGTCAATATAGTGTGTATAATAAATTATAAAAGTCATTATATGTTTTTTAAAAATATTTGTTTTTTTAGTTGTAGTTGGACACAATATCTTTTTTTATTTGTGTGTGGTGCTGAGGATCGAACCCAGGGCCTCACACGTGCTAGGCAACCCCAGCCCCAGTCATTATATGTTTATAATAAAAATTAATATATAATAAATGTATTAAAATAATAAATAAATGTCATAGATTCATTTGTATTCATTATTTACAAGCAAGTCAACCTTTATTTCCTTTCCTTGTTCTATACTTTTCCATCTCTTTTTACTTATTTCACTTGGTCAATTACATTGTTTTCTAATAAAAATTCATAATAATATTAAATACATGAATCTACTCAACAATAACTCTAGAGAATCGGAATGTCATTATATACAGGAGGTGTCAGGTATTGTTGTAACAAGATTTAATGGAGCTTTGACTCTTCTTTGAGTAAATACTTTTAAATCCCAGAAATGACTATTCAGTAAAAGTTATACAGTTGATGGCTTTCCACTATATCAGGCCATGAAAGTTTTATTAGCAATACTACTACTTCTCTACAAATTTACAAAATATGAAATGCCTCCAGATGGTCCATTTAAATAAAATTATACAATCTTTCTTCTCATAAATAGCCACGCAGTACCCAGCATGGCATCATGAAAGCCGGAAGACCTACAGGCAGAGTACAGATGGTGCCGAGGCAATTGAAGGGACCAGGGAGGAAGAGGAGCCTGAATCAGGCACCCAGGAGAGGCACAGCCCCTCAGAGGCTGGCAGCGGAAGTCCTGAGGACCAGTATGATGACTTGTATGTGTTCATTCCCGGAAATGACCCAGAAAGTAATTCACAAGAGCCACTCGTGTGCTGCAGACCACCTCTTCCCCCACCAAGACCTGTGTCTGCAGCCTTCCAACTGGAAAAACCTCACTTCACGTTACAAAGTAAGTTTAAAATTCAAAGAAAAGAAATGCTCTTGACAGGCATACATAGCATGAGTGCAGTGGTAAATCCATACAGAGAAGATCAGCTTTTGAAACCTTTTGAAGCTTTTCTTCCTGCTCTTAACAAGTAGGGCCCAGGCAGTGAAGCAAGAGATACCTGCCACCACCCTTTCTCCCTCCCTCCCTTCCTCTTTTTCCCTTTCCTTCCTTCCCTCCCCCGCCTTCCATCCTTTCTTTTTTCTGGAACAAAAATCTTATTACAAAGCTTTAAGAAAGCAAAGCAATAAAACTTGGAAGGAATCTGTAGTTCAGCACATAAAATGAACCTCAAGTATCCTGTGGAAAAGCAAATGACAACATTGCTTTTAAAAAATACTCTTAGTATTCTGGCAAGAGGGGAAGGCTAATGTTTTACAGATGATTTACAGATGACTTGCAAATGATCTTAGGCATCACTCACTTTGTAGCTGTGGAAGAATGAAGTGGTAAGGAGTTTATTGCACAATGCATTGAGACTGAAGTCTAAGAATACAAGATATATATAATCTGTATATCTCCAAAGTAGAACAGCCACCATGGCTGTCATGCCATTTGTTCTCAGAGGTAAAATTGGGGTGTGTAAGGCAGGGGTGTGGAGTATACTGTGGAGGACAAACCTTATAGTGAGCATGAAGAGGAGTTTCCACATTGGGCTTTTCTACCTCCAGTGTTCAACAGCCTGAAAAATTTCCACCTCCAGGTTATCTCCTATAGTCACTAATGATATCCCACTAAAATTGAACATTATTTTATATTTGCTTTCCAAATTCACGAAGCAAATTTAATAACAAAGATTTAAAAGTTCCCATTAAGATAATATATTTGTCACTGCCCTTTAGTTGTTTTGTCCTAGAAAGCTCTTAAGTACATTAATATTATTTCAAAAAGGAGAATTTTGAAGCCAAGAAATTTAGCATTAGTGTCCTTGAAGGCTCTGCCTGTGAAGCTCTATTTTGTCAACATAAGCCATCCTAAAGTCAAGCACTGCATTTATAGATGCAAAATTTTGCTCAGTGGAAAGTACCAAAGCCTAATGGGAGCTCCTCTGAATCAGTCCCTCATAAGCAGGCATTTATTGCTTACCTACTGTGTGCCAAGCCCTTGTAGACCCTTCATTGACCTATATCAATGAAGTAGATTATGAAAATCGGTAGGGCAAGGAAACATAGGTGGTTAATTCACTGATAACCAAATCCTGGCATGTTTTTCTCACTTTCAGTATTCGAATAATTTGATGTAATACTCTATTCTTTAGAAGAAAAGATTTTCTTGTGTCAGGTCAAATCTCTTGCAGGAGCTAATATTAAATTATGTTTTTACTAATGTAAATTTCTATATATAATATGTTGGATAGGAGGTATAAAATTACTCTACTCCAGTGTTTACCAGATACCTAGACTAGAAAAGTAATATTGGCTAATTTATCTCCTGAAAACTACCAAATATAAAAAGCAAAATAAAACAAAGACTTGCTGCTTTTATTTAAAAACCCTATTTTTACATTTTATGTGTGGTGATGTTTTTCAACTTGCCTTTTTATAGGGTTGATATTGGAAGAAAATGGAAAATAAAAGCCAATATTTTTTCTTAAAATTCCTTAATTTAGTTCTTTTACAAGTAAGCCTACAAATTTCCACATAATTTTTGCCAGAGACAAAGATGCACAAAGTTCTTTCACTTTAGCTAGTGATAATTTCAGGAATTGCTTAGGTGTAAATTTCATCTGCCTTCAGTTATTGCAAAAAGAGACCAGTTCATCTATAGCCGAGGACTCAAATTCCTCACTATGGATTTGTGGACATATTTGTTTTGAGAAACTTAAAATGTAACATTATGGATCCCTTTTCACTTTATAAAGAACATATGATCTTTGTCTTCACAATAATTCCAGAATGTAACTATCAGAATGATCCCTCTTTGACTCAGATGCAACACCATAGAGCCTATGATTAGAATATATCAAATACTTACATGAAGAGGTTTATTGGACTTCTAAGGTTCTTCTATTTTCTTCTCTTTTATTCTTCTTACTCCAAGTATTTCAAAAGTTGGAATTACAGAAGTGACACATTTCAACAGTTATTTGTTAGTGCATAACCTGAATTGAGTGGAACATGAGCCACTCTTTAACAAGAAGTATAATCTGATACTTGGGAAAATAAAAAGTAAAATGCATTCTTTCTAGTGCAAATCTAACTTTAAAAAGTTAGGAAGTGTGGTGGGTGGGGAAACAAAAAAAGTTAACAGCTCAGGAAATCAGTTCATAAAAGTAAGATGGCTGACACATTTTGCTAAAAATGAAGCACTGTAAAAGTGTTTCCCACACACTTCATCAGGGTTCACCTGTGATGCTGTCAATAAAACAGAACTCATGAAGTCAAACCATATTATTCACAGAGGAAAAGGCAAGTCACAGTGATTTTAAATTCAGTGTGAAGCTTATAGGTAATTAGTACTTCTTGGATTAAACTAAGGGGAGCAGTGACATTTAAGACTCCTATGTGAGATGAACTTGGTCACTCCACAAAAACCTACCCAAAACAATTGCTGAATCTTCTTATGACAATAGTCTTGTCTTCTGTACTATTTGTGTTTCCTTTTAGATTCTGTTTTTCCACTAAAATGCACATAAGTAATAAACTACTTTATTATCATTAATTTTTTAAATATTTTTATTAAATTATATATTTATTCTAATTTGTTATACATGATGGTAGAATGCAATTCATTTCATATTACATATATAGAGCACAATTGTTCAAGTCACTGATTGTACACAAAGTAATTTACACCATTTGTGTCTTCATACATGTACTTAGGGTAATGATGTCTAACTCATTTCACCATCATTTCTACCCCCTAACCCCTTCCCTTTCCCTCCCTCCTCTTTTCCCTATCTAAAGTTCCTCCATTCCTCCCATGCTCCACCCCCCATCACCATTATGAGTCAGCATTCTCATATCAAAGAAAACATTTGACCTTTGGTTTTTGGGGATTGGCTTAATTCACTTAGCATTATATTCTCCAACTCCATCCATTTACCTGCAAATATGATGAATTTATTCTCTTTTATTGCTGAGTAAAATTCCATTGTGTATATATACCACATTTTTTTATCCATTCATCCACTGAAGGGCATTTTAGCCCTTCAGCTATTATGAATTGTGCTGCTATAAACATTGATGTGGCTGTGTCCCTGTAGTATGCTGTTTTTAAATCCTTTAGGTATAGTCCGAGGAGAGGGATAGCTGGGTCAAATGGAGGTTCCATTCCCAGATTTCCAAGGAATCTCCATACTGCTTTCCATATTGGCTGCACCAATTTGCAGTCCCACCAGCAATGTATGAGTGTGCCTTTCCCCCCCACATTCTTGCCAACACTTTGTCTTCATAATAGCTGCCATTCTGACTGTAGTGAGATGAAATATTAGAGTAGTTTTGATTTGATTTCTCTAATTGCTAGAAATGTTGACCATTTTTTCATATGTTTGTTGATTGCTTGTATATCCTCTTCTGAGAAGTTTCGGTTCAGTTCCTTGGCCCGTTTATTAATTTGGTTATTTAGTTTTTTGGTGTTAAGGTTTTTGAGTGTTTTATATATCCTAGAGATAGTGCTCTATCTGATGTGCTTGGGATAAAGATCTGCTCCCATTATGTAGGCTCTCTGATTGTTTCTTTTGTTGAGAAGGGTTTTAGTTTGAATCCATCCCATTTATTGATTCTTGGTTTTAATTCTTGCACTACAGGAGTCTTATTAAGGAAGTTGGGGATGAAACAACATATGGAGATTTGGGTCTACTTTTTCTTCCATTAGGCCTAAGGTGTCTGGTTTAATCCTAGGTCCTTGATCCACTTTGAGTTGAGTTTTGTGCATGGTGAGAGATAGAGGTTAATTTAATTTTGTTACATGTGGATTTCCAGTTTTCCCAGCACCATTTGTTGAACAGGCTATCTTTTCTCCAATGCACGTTTTTGTCAACTTTGCCTAATATAAGGTAATGGTAGTTATTTGGGTTAGTCTCTGTGTCCTCCATTCAGTAACATTGATCTACAGTTCTATTTTGGTGCCAATACGATGCTGTTTTTGTTACTATTGCTCTGTAGCATAGTTTAAGTGTGGAATAGTAATGCCACCATTTCACTCTTCTTGCTAAGGATTGCTTTGGCTATTCTGGGTCTCTTATTTTTCCAGATGAATTTAATGGTTGCTTTTTCTATTTCTATGAGGAATGTCATTGGGATTTTGATTGGGGTTGCATGAATCTGTATAGTGCTTTTGGTAGTATGGTCATTTTGACAATATTAATTCTGCCTATCCAAGAACAAGGTAGATCTTTTCATCTTCTAAGGTCTTCTTTAATTTCCTTCTTTATGGTACTGTAGTTTTCATTGTAGAGGTCTTTTGCTTCTTTTGTTAAGTTTATTCCCAAGGTTTTTTGTTTCTTTATTTTTGTTTTTGAGGCTATTATAAATGGGGTAGTTTTCCTAATTTCTCTTTCAGAGGATTTGTCACTGATATACAGAAATGCCTTTGATTTATTTATGGATGTTGATTTTATATCCAGCTACTTTGCTGAATTCATTTATTAGTTTTAGGAGATTTCTTGTGTAATGTTTTGGGTCTTCTAGGTATTGAATCATATCATCTACAAATATTGATAATTTGAGTTCTTCTTTTCCTATCCATATACCTTTAATTTCTTTCATCTGGTCTTATTGATCTGGCTAGAGTTTTGAGAACTATATTAAATAGAAGTGGTAAAAGAGGGCATTCCTGTCTTTTTTCCAGTTTTTAGAGGGAATGCTTTCAATTTTTCTCCATTTCAAATGATGTTGGCCTGGGGCTTAGCATACATAGCCTTTACAATGTTGAGGTATGTTCCTGATATCCCTAGTTTTCCTAACATTATTATCTGATTCTCATCCTCCAAAGGCAATTTGGCAATGTTTTTTAAAAATGGGGGTTAAAAAAGCCAAAAAAACAAAAAACAAACCTCTCATTGACCTGGTAGAGAGCCATAACATTCAAATTCTTTTCAACTTATTCACCAAAGTATTTCATGTATCTGTCTTCTAAATAAGAGCTACTAAAATATTTTAGTATATTCCTATAAAAGTATGTGTAGATTTTACTGAATATGGAACCACAGGATTCTGACATGTCTACTTTTATTCTTTTCATATGAATTAATACTCAAGCCATTGGTTGCCGATGCTGTTTTTTTGTATCCTGAATGCTCTTTTCAGAGTCCTTTATCTAAATGGCTTATAAAAATCTAGACTTGCACTTTTGAAGGTCAGTTTTGTCATAGCCAGAAACCAACCAGGAGGAAATAGAGTAGTGATACCTTTGGCTATTTTCTCCCATCATTCCCAGAGAAAATGAACTCTAGGCAAAATATTCAGTGCAAGAATCACGAAAGTGTATGGCTGGTGGAGAAAGAAGGTGGTAAAAAGTTATGTTTTCAAAAAATTCATTTCTTAAACCAAGTGGTTTTCTTAACAAAATTAGCAACTACAAACTGCAGAAAGTTCTGTTCACAAATTACACAGTTCATTTTTCTTTTGGAATTTATTTATAATTATTTTTCTAGAAACAGGACCTCTTCCTTTATATTGTTTCCTATGGCATTTGATTAAGCTACTTTGGGAAACCCAATTGTGTCGGATGGACACCAATAACATTTCATAGAATAGAAGCATAAACACAGTCTAAATATTTCATAAGCAGGGAGAACCGCGGAAGGACAAGTAGAAAGGAGTCAAAACTGGAGTTATCCTAGTGCCAGACAAGAAAAGAGAGATGAACCCAAAGTAGAAGAAGAAAAGAAAGAAGATGAAAAGAAACAGGAGGAGGAAGACCCTTACACTTTTGCTGAGATTGATGATAATGAATATGACCAGATCCTGGCCAATATGAGTGTAAAGAAGAGAACCGGAAGTCGGTCCTTCATTATAAACAGACCTCCTGCCCCTACACCTCGACCCACAAATGTACCTCCGAAGGAGGAAACAACACCTTACATAGCTCAAGGTAATGTTTTGGTTTGTTTTTTAATCTGTAGACTTTTTTCTTCCTTTTGCACATGGAAGGGTGGTACAAGGTGATGTGATTAGTGCTCCAAAATTACTTCAAAAAATTGAAAGGCACAGGTAAGTGATATTGAGTCATTTTTTTTTATTTAGAAAAATAATGAATAAAGAAAATAAAAATTATGGTGTGAGTTCTTCTTTCTAATTCTTCATTAAGAAGGATAATTTTGACAAACCACCCCAGGCATGTGAAACAAGAGAATACATAGATAAATTCTATTTGAGACTTTTTTTCACAATTCTACAAGAGGGAAGCTGAACTCCTACAGATAATCAAATAACTGTGTAACACAAAAATATTTAAATATATACCCCAGATCCACCTCAGAGAAACACAATTAGTTGTCTGTGTTTAATATTTTCAAAAGAAATCATTCTACTTCTTAAGCAGAATATATTGAGAGATTCTTATTTAATAGTGATCTACTGGTAATAATGATCAAAAAAACTGCAACAAATTTTGAAATTATTAAGTGTTTCAACAAACACAAAATGTTAATTGGAATGATTATCTAGATGATGAAGACAAGAAAAAAGATTTAACTAGAAATTCTCAGACTATCTATCATGGCAATCTCAGGATGTCACTATCTCTTTCACAAAGTTTCTAAACTCCAACAAATGTACATGAAGCAAAGAAAGTAGACATGAGTTTATGCAATAACTGAGTCATATTTTCAAAATGTTTGAAGAATTGCATTATCCTGTGTAGTCCGGTCCTTGGGATGTTGCCCAAGACAATGACTCCCATTTTTTATTGTTGTCCTTTTGGGTCTTTACCTTCCTGTCCTTTTTTGGCAATCATATTCTTGTTTTCCAAAATCACTTTTTTGTTCTCTGTTCTTTTTAATACCATTTTCTTCTTCTTCTTTTTTTTTTTTTGGAGGTAGGAGAGGGAAGAGAAGTATAATTTACTATCTTTGTTACTGCTTTTGTTTTATTCGTTTGAGATTTTTAATTTTTTGTTCAGATTTTTATTTTTCTTCTACTCTCATGTCATCTCCATTGTATTTATTTGTTGTTCATTTATTCTGTCTATCATGCTTGACACTTCCACCAAATATGGCTATTCTTGGCTATGCTTGCTTGTTTAAGAAGGAAGTTCTAAAATCCTGAATGAAGATCTCTAATTGTTAACTGCATTATGGGCTGATAGGGAGGTAACCAGCTTTTTTCACTGAGTAACTTCCAAATATAAACTTACCTAGCTCTGTTCCCCTATTTTTTTTCAGTTTTTCTAGAATAAAATCCAACTAACTTGAGTCTGAAATTGTACATCTTGTTGCCAGCACACTGAGATTGGAATGCACAGGAAGACTGGAAAATTTCAACCAGAATGAACAACTTAATTTGTTCTATTTCCAGTCCAGTGTGTAACTCTTGTCATTCGTAGTGCCTTATATCCCATATGCCACTGTCACCAGAAGATATCTATGGAGCTCCTGGAGGCAGTACCTTGACTCAGGACAAGTGGCATACTTGACATATGTGAGAGAAAAGAATTTCTGCACATACCAGAGACAAAGACAGAGCTTTATATAGGAGAGCAGAGACATTTGAGGGAGAATGTGGGCTATCTAGAGAGTGAGAATTTGGGGAGGTAAGGCATGGAATATACATTCAAGGGGGAATACAGTCCAGCTCAAGAATGAGAGGTAACAATCCCTTGCTTTGGTGTTTATTGGTATCTGTAGAAGGACAGCAGAAGGGGATACACTATAGGTTGTTACTATAGAATACAGTTACTTTTGTTGGCAAGGGTACAAGCTACGTTGCTCTTGTGTGGCTTGTCTCACATTCGAACAGCCTTGAGAGTTTTCCTGCATTCCAAAGGTTTGTAGGTACTTCTCTTTGAGACTCAGCATATTTTTGAATCCTCAAACTCCCACCCCATCACAACTGCTTTTCAATATCTGTAATGAATAACCTCCCATTATGGTTAACTGGCTCTGTTCACAGATTGGAGAAGAAATTTGAGTATGTGACTGCTTTAGACTTTCAACCAATCCCCACATTAAATAAGTCAATTAGAATAGTTTTCCTCCATGCTCATTTATTAATTGATTACATAAAGATTTATTGAGTACTAATGACAAAGTCTTTCTGCATATTAATTATGTAAATTCCTTACCTGGTGATGATACAAGTTGCCCTATGTGTGGGCACTTGCATAGGAGATTGCCTCATCAATTCATTTTTTTTTCTTGATGTTCTTTGGATTCCACACAATAAACATCTTTTACCACGTAATTCCTTTTCCTTTTCTTCCCATAGCTCAGATCTATTAAATAGAATTGCCACTATTTCCCAGAAAGCCATCCATTTAATTAGGAGAACATTAATTTGCCCCAATTCTTGCCAGAGGATAGAAGCAGTAGCCGAATTTTGGCACACCCATGCTATTACATAGCCAAAAGAGAAGGATGTGGAACAGGGGATGGGAGAACAATACAGGATGCAGAATCCTAGTTTACCTTTCAGAACCTCAAGAAAGTACTGGCAAAAAGATGGGCAGAGGAAAACCAGAAATGTAGAGGAAAACCATGTTTTCTTTACCGAAAAACCTGTTTTCCAATACAGTTGATACTACCTAAGCAAACAACCTGATATCCAAGATTTGAATTCCTCAAAGATAAATTGGGGTAAAAAGAATAATATCTGCTTCATAGATTTATAATCTGTAGTAAAGTAAATTTAGCAAAAAATCCAGCATTTGCTTGATATGCTCAATACATTATAATTCAGACAAGTCTTATTTGTCTTTACTCAATTTCTGGACAAAGGATGACTTTGATAAACTAACTTTAGTAGAGAAAAAGTATCTCCATGTTTCTTGAATTCTGGTGGAGTCCAAAGTGAAGAAATATAGATACTGGAACTGAAGTGAGTAGGGGAAAGAAACCCTGGCCTCTGATGGGACAAATTGGCTAGTCTGCTCCTTAGGATTACTATTAGGCAATTTTAGTGATAATTTCTAATTCATGGAATAATTCTTCTTGGTCAGCATTAATAGTCTCATTTTAGAGGTACAGGAACTGATACACAGTGAGTTTCAATGTCCTGCCCAAATAATAAAACTAGAAAAAGGTAGGATTTGGACCCAGATCAATCTGCCTTTCGTGCCTGTACACGTGGCACCACAAATTTCCTTCACTGATATATTTATTGCTATGTATTTATTAATATTTATTTCTTCTTTCTAACCAATAAGACTCGTAAAGGAAGAGACCAACTTTATCTGGTTTTGTGCACCATTATATCTCTAGTGCCAAGTTCAGTACTGAATTCATAGTACAGAATATGAATATTTGATAAATTTTAACTGAATGCATCAGTGATAGAAGTGACAAGATCCCTATCAATATGGCTAAAAGATGCCATTACCACACTGGAAGATGATTTGAAGAATACATATATTCACTAATTCCTAAGTTTTCCCTGTTTTAAAACACCCAGTATTTGAAGCACAGTTAATGTGAAGGACAGAGCCCATGCAGAATGAAACAAAGCTCTATGATATTCATATATGGCTAAGCTTTCTAACTGCTATCATGAAGCTGAATATATGAGAGAAGCTCTATTTCCACCACCATTACCAGGCCCTACCCTCCAAAAGTGTAACTTATTAATGCACAATTGAACCCATGTTGGTTCATTTTATCCAAAGATATGTTTCTGATTTTTGTCTCATTTTTGTCATACTGAGCCTAACCTTACATTAGCAACCACAACAAGAATTACTCTTTTTTCTTAAAAGGTTTTTGACGTCTGCCTGTTTCCAGATACCAATGCTCTCCATCTTTTTCGACCTGTTATATTGGAAAAGATCTGATTCATTAAAAGGAAAGACTATAGAAGTATTAACATGGATTTACAATCTTCTTTAGTGACATTATTCTTGATTTAAGGCAAATCAAGGAAGGAAAATGAGTACTTGGCATAGCATAGATAGATTGGTAGTAAAACTCTGTCTATATTTCATGCAAAGAGATGAATGCCTATTGGGGAAAATTTTTCTACATCAATGGACAATTTTCCATTTCTCCCTCACACAATTAATAGGGCAAAGATCCTTCTTCAGAGTCCATGTGGTTGATTTGGGGTAGAATATAATTTCCTTTCAATTTTCAGTTACTGCTGCATTACCCTTGGCATTTAGCAGTGCAACAAAGATGTATATGACCTTTTTGAGAGCTACTCAGCTACTGGGACCCCAAAATGTCAAGTACAACTCAGTTGCTCTCAGAAAATTTCCACTTGCAATTCACTTTTACTTGAAATTGATCACATACAATGCAACTGAAATGCAAAAAGAAAAAATAAATAAAAGACCTTGTAGAAACTCTTGGGGAAATTAATCCATATCATTGTAAATGTGACAGAGTAGAATGATCTCTGTCCTCATTAGTAAAGAAACAGAGTCAAGTGGATTAAATTGGGCCTCAGATCAAGTGCTGTGTGTCATTCTCTCTGGCTAGGTGACCTTGTCCAAACTATTTAGCTTCAGGACATAGTATCTATATCACAGATGCTCTTTCAGAACAGAGTGTCATATTTATCATTCTGTCTGTAAGTCCCATGTTCCTGCCTTTCCCTGGGACTTGCTGCCTCTCTTCTTTCCATGAAAAGGTGCTGGTACACCTCTGCAAAGGTGAAATCAGCTCCTACTGTCCTTTGAAGGGAAGCAGTCTGTTTGTATGACACAAGTGTGTCAATTTGCTCTTTCTGACCTTCTCACTTCTCCTGGCTTCTTCATAGACTGAATGAAATCTGAGAAGGGTTTTCAGCCCATCAATTGGAGTGTTGGGATAGTAATGGTAAACTTTTCAGCCTCCTCTTCCAAGCATTCAACTCCTCGATATTATGGAAGTAGATAGGAGGCAGTTATCAACCATGGTGTTGACTGATATTAAAGAATCTGCATTACATGAGAAAATAATA